TTCTGCTCCTCTGTCAGTTTGCTGAGAATGATGGTTTCCAGGTTCATACATGTCCCCACAAAGGACCCAAACTCATCGTTTTTGATGGCTGCATAATATTCCATGGTGTATATGTGCCACATTTTCCCTATCCAGTCTATCGTCGATATTCCATTTGACCCAGCAATCCCATTACTGGGTATATATCCAAAGGATTACAAATCGTTCTACTATAAGGACACGTGTACACGAATGTTCATTGCAGCACTGTTTACAATGGCTAGGTTAACTGTTTTAAAAGAAAAATATTTATTTATTTAAAAATGTTTACTTAAGCAATGGTAATACTTTCAACTTATGATTTTAATGAATTATTTTTTCATTTGGAAGTCATCACATAGAGTAACTAATTTTAAAGAATTAGATCTTTTTATTTTCTAATGGCTTTAGCACTTTGTGATTTATATAAATTAATGTAAAATTAATTCATTATGACTATCCATTTTTCATAGTCTTTTCTATGATTGTACTGTAGCAAGTACTAATTCTAATGTAGCGAGATAATTGATTTTCTATTGTTATAGCTCCAGATGGTCCTCCTGAAAATATTCATGTAGTAGCAACATCACCTTTTAGCATCAGCATAAGCTGGAGTGAACCTGCTGTCATTACTGGACCAACATATTATCTGATTGATGTCAAATCGGTAAGGCATGTCTTACCTTCTATAATAGTTGGTATAATATGGTTAAGAATATAAGTTTTAGAACCAGAGTACTTGAATTTGAATCTTGGCTCTGTTAGATACTAAGAAAATTACTTCACTTGTTTGTGTTTCAATGTCTACATCTGTAAAATAAAGACTAATAATAGTAAACAGGGTACAGAGATTCTATAAGGACTGAATCAGTTAGCATGCATAAAGAACTTAGAACGTTACCTGACACTTGGTAAATGCTCAATAAATATAAAATATTAGTAACATTATTATTATATTTATTAACAGAGTATAGAATATGCATATACATATATATGTAAATATACACATATAAATGGTTACATTGGTGATAATGCAAATATCTGGTTTACAGCACAGTGGAAAGTGATTCATAATACAAAATGAGAAAAGAGAAGTCATTAGGAAAAATGTCTCCCAGATAAAGTAACATCAGAGCTAAGGCTTGAAAAATAAGTGAAGCAGAACATGAAAGAGAAATGGGAATGGGATGTAAAAGAGTAAGCCTCATTCAAGAAAAATCAAGTTGTTTGGCAATCCTGGGTCATAGCATTAAAAAAAAAAAGTTCTAAGAGATGAGGCTAGATCCAGAGGCTGACTAATGTTACAGAGTTAGGGTTTTATGTTAAGGGCAGTGGGATGGCAATTGGTGATACAGATTTCTACTGTATAGAATAGGTATGGTTGCAGAGTAGAGGATAGTTTGGGAGCAGTATGGGGAGTGCAAAACCAGGCAAGGAAACAGGAAACCATTAACGGGCAAGGAAAGAGAACAGAAGAAATGTAGCAAAAGAACAGAATGTAAAATAATCTAAATCTATAGAATTTGGTGAAAATTAACTAACTCATGATGGTGAATGAGAAGGACAATTAAGGATGATTTTAAGTTATATGTAACAGAAGATTTTGAGTAGGAACAGATCTGTAGAGGAAAAGAGTGAATTCAGTATCAGACACATTAAGTTTGAAATACCTGGGAGTTCTTCAGGTCAATAAACCCACTGGCAGTATTAAATATGGATCTGGAGCTCAGGAGAGAAGTTCTGGATTTGCAGATTTGGGTAACATTAGTATTTAGAAGATAGTCAAATTATAGGAGTGAAGGAGATTTACTGTGGAATGTGCAAAGTAAGATGACAACCTGAGGATAGCATCCTGGGGAATACAAACATTTAAACAAGAGGCCACAGAAAAGACTGCATGGGAGTAGATAGTCATTCGATGGTAACCCAGGCATGAAAATCAAACCCTTCATGTAAGACAGGATACTCAATGATGTCGATAATGCAAAACAGTTAGCCAGGATAAGGATTGAAAATATTTTCTTTGCACCCAGCTTGGGTTTTGCTGGGCTTGATGAACATGGTTTTCTAGTAGCATCTTATACATTATATAGAAAACTTACAGTGAATTTTCCTTTCTCTTTGCCTCTGACTCTTGTCTAACTTTATAATTATTATGTCTTTGTAGTATTTCTTAGAGACATAATACTTCCATCTCAAAAGACCTGTCATCATTAAAATAAAATTTAAAGAATTATTGATGCATTTGTTCTCCCATTCAGTCTTTACTTTCTATTCTTCTCTTAGAGCATATTTGTGAAGATTTTAGTATGTAATTAGCCAAAAATAATTAGCATGAATGATGAATGCCTTGAGAATATGCATTAAAAACAAATTATAAAATGATAAACCTTTACTCTGTCAAATGAAAGGCACTTTATTAATGAAAATAATTCTCCCTTGGAAATTCTGCTTAAAGGAAGAAAAAAACAAAACATATTAAGAAATGATTTTGTAATCTCATTCTTGTAGCCTTCTTGCTAAGTTTTAAAATGAGCAAGGCAAAGAGTAGAATGGGAAGATAATGAATATTTTAATTGCGTAGTTTATACAAGTTACATGCTGCCTCTTCCTATGCATTATCGTATTATATGTTATCTAACAACATTTTGATATAAACATTATTACCTTCATTTTGCATAAAAGCGATCTGAGGCACAGAGAAGGTGAATAACTTCTCACAGAGCTAAGACTTGGCTAAAACTAACAGACAGTGGTTTAACAGGAGAAAAGGAAGGTCAGTAAATAGCAAGTAAAATTGGCAAACATAAATATAACCTCACCAAATCAACAATCAACAATAGCAAGAACAGCAATAGCAAGAACAGAGTCAGACAGAACCTAGTAATTCAGTTTCTTTAGGATTCTCAGAACTAAGTAGAGGCATTTCCTTCCTTCCTTCCTTCCTTCCTTCCTTCCTTCCTTCCTTCCTTCCTTCCTTCCTTCCTTCCTTCCTTCCTTCCTTCCTTTCTTCCTTCCTTCCTTCCTTCTTTCCTTCCTTTCTTCCTTCCTCCCTCCCTCCCTTCCTTCCTTCCTTCCTTCCTTCCTCCCTTCCTTCCTTCCTTCTTTCCTTCTTCCTCACACATTTTAAAATACATCCAATGTACTAGAACTATGCTAGATGCTGGATTTGTAGAAGTGAACAAATCAGATAAAGCATGTTTACAGCTCATTTCATTAATATGTAATTATCAACATTCAAGAATCATTGCTTCCCAGACTAAGGAAGAATACATTTCATTGCACTTAGGGCTTATTGTACAGCCTGTCTTCTGCAAAATATTAGCCACAGGGGATAAAACTCTTAACTTTAAAAATTTAAACAAAAATTGTCAATCTTAGTAAAGATATATTATTAAAAAACTTTATAAAATGTAAATATCATCCTAGATGGTTCTGCTGGAAATGAATGCATTTATAGTCATTTTCATTGTTCCTTTTGTTGTTTCGCTTAACAAGTTGTTACTGAGTAGCTTCTGTTCATCAAGACAAGGATGAAAAACAATGCTCTGCTGTCAAGTAGGTCACACCCTAGTGGTACACACTAGAATATAAACAGCAAATTATGCTAATTATAGAGTTTGAGGTATGAAGTTTTGTGGGAAATACAAGCTAACAAAGTAGTTAAAGTTCCTGTTATGAGGGACATAGGATATAAAGGAGACTTCACAGAGCAGGTTAAATATGTTCTGGGACTTGACAAATGAATAGGGTGCACCAGGTGGGAAAGGGTGGAGACAGGATAGGAAAAGAAGAAAAAATAGGAAGTGGGGCAGGAATAGGAGAACCAGAGTCTAATTACTGATACTTTATATAAAGTCACACTTCAAAAATGATGAAAGACATTTTATAATAATAAATTATCAAGTATAATATGAGCAAACAAATTTGAAATTGATTGAAGGAAAATGAGGAGTCAAAAAGACTTGATTTCAATCCTGGGTAAGTGGACAAGTAGTAGTTAACAACAACAAAGGTGGAGTTGGTTTAATAAAGAAAGATAATGATCTTTTGTACTGCCAGATTTGAGGACCGAGAATTCCTTTCAGATTTTGTTAAGTATTTTTAAATATATAATATATCATATGCATGCCATGTCATATTTTCATGGCTTGATATTTGTTATCTATTGTTTTAATAGAAGGCATTAGAAGAGTATAATTTATAAATAGTTCAATTTATAAGATCAAACCCAGTGAGCCTGTGGCAGTGTAGAATGCTGTGGACTCTTGAAAGACCTGGACTCAAATCCTACCACTGCTACTAAGTAACCCTGAGGAAGTAACCTCAACTCTATAACATCAGAATTCAAACAGCTGTAATAGACCAGCAACATGAACCAGTAGTCAAAGTGAAGCCAACTGAGTGGGGCTCCAATGAATGGGACCCATGGCCCCTTTACAGGGGTTGACAGTTACTCATCTCCACATCTCTAGATAATATTTTTTCTGCATGAAATTCAGCCTGGTCTTAAGGAAAATTCCAAAAGGCATATTTTTATGTAATATTTAAATGTTGACAACTAGTTAAATACACACTTTCTGCCAGTGGTACACATTCCTGATCAAGAGGATTCCTATGGTAGTTTGTTTTTCTGCCATTTTAGAGAAGTGGGGCATTTCCATCCACTGGGAATAATCTATTTGACTGTTTGCAATGATAGTATTATTTATATCAGCCTCTTGCTTTGTTTCTTCTTTTATTTTTCATAGCAACATATTTTTTTAAAAAAATCTTTGAGTTAATTTCATTTATATTACCTCTGAAGACATCTCTAAAAATTAGTTTCCAGGACAACATTTTCAATATAGGTATACCATATGCAAATCAATAAGTGTGTTTCACCATATTATCAATAAAAAATGTTCTTAGCAAACAGCATTAAAAGAACACATTGAAACACCAAACAAATAAAAAATCTTTTAAATTATGAGGGAGGGTCAAGTTTAAAATGAAGTTAATAGTCTTTACTGTGTATAAAACCTGGTTTTAAGTGTTTCAATTCAGGTACCTGAGAGTAGTATGCATTACAGGATTTTGAATTTTCTCTTGGTTATCTTGGGAAAAGCCCTTCTACTTAGTGCTAGCAAGTTTAGCTATGCTTAATATCTGGAGTCAATAGGCCAGAACCTTCATAAAAGACAGACTGTGTTTGAACAAATCATATAGCTACATTTCATATGCCTAAAGACACTCATTTATGCACATTAATAATTAGGACATCCACAATTAATTGAGTTATCCAGTGCTATGCATAGCGCTAAATCAGAGTTTTTCAAACTGCAGCCATCATTAGAATTTTTAAATGAATTGGAATAAAATTAAAAAGAGCAGAAAAGATTGAAGTTTATTTCAGAAAGATGGCATATTTCTGAAAAATGTATTACAGACATAAGGTATACGTATATTTTATATCTATCTGTCTTGTCTTCTGAATTATGTTACAAAGAGTGTTTCCTTTTGTGGGTAATGGTGAAAAAATATTGAAATCTATGTTCCAGCTATTTTAGACCTATCCTTTCTAAATCTCAATAGAACACTGTAAATAGTTATCATTTGCCCAATTTTACATGCATTGAAAGACCAGACTGTATAGGTGTTTTCTCAAATACTACAGTGCTGTAAGTGGCCAATCTGGGATTTGAACCCTATGTGATTAGGTACCAAAACCTCTATACTTTCTTCTACAAATATTGGAGTCAAAAGTAGCATTTCGTTGACTGCAAAGATGATTTTTGCTTATTCATTTAATGGGTTGGTTAATCATGGTTGGCTCGTTGAGTTTGTTTTCCTTTACTTTCAACTGTTAAGATAATTAATAATTAGTAAACTGTTATAATAGTACTTCAGATTTCCCAGGGCAATCTGATGGCAAAATGAATAAATAAATAAAAATCTTGGCTAGATAAATACATCTCAGGTAGCTTTGTATTATTATATTTTGGTGATTTGGATATCAAGTGCTGCTTCCTTAATTTTTACTTATATTTTTCTATAGGTAGATAATGATGAATTTAATATATCCTTCATCAAGTCAAATGAAGAAAATAAAACCATAGAAATTAAAGATTTAGAAATATTCACAAGATATTCCGTAGTGATCACTGCGTTTACTGGGAACATAAGTGCTGCATATGAAGAAGGGAAGTCAAGTGCTGAAGTGATTGTTACTACTTTAGAATCAGGTAAGGAGAATTTCTCATCCTTGCTAAAAATTGACTGAGACTTAGCTTGCCTTCTTGCAGTTCCTCACACTCCACCCAAAAAGGATATATATTATGAGAAGTTTTTAAAGAGTATGAAGAAAAAAAAATCAATGACTCTGCAATTGACATAAAGGAAGCTTTCTATTTACATTTTTGAGGTAACAATGAGTTATGTAGAATATTCAATTATTGTAAGTACAGAAACAAAATAAAGGTATGTAATTTGTATTTCTTTGCACTTATTTAATCTGCTAGTTGTTTCAGAAATTGAGTACACTTACCTAAGAGATATTTCCAACTGTCTATATCCAATAACACTTCAACTAAAATTCTATTTCAATTATTTCTGTCTCATTATTTGAATGAATATTAAACTCATAATATTCTATGAGTATTAAATAACCTGGAATTCAAAAGCAGAATCCAGCTCACATTTATCATAACTATTGTCTTCACTTAGTCAAGTAATATATGTCTTATTATATGACTCTTTAATAAATGTCAGAATCCACACAGATTTCCTCAAGTTCTTATGAACAGGGTCTGAATGAATAATAAGGTTGTAACCAGTAAGAATTAAATTTGGAAAGTCAACATCCCAGAACTTGCTTGCCCCATCTTCCTTCAGACTTCTGATGTTCTTTGCCACCAGATATATCATTCAAAAGAGCAGATGAAGGGATGTGTTGCTATAGTTTATTTGTTGCTATCTGTAAGGTAAGTATAGGAGGTAAAATTTTTTTACAGCTAGTTTTTCATTACGTTATATTCTCTATGCATTTTGTCTGTAAAGTTATTGTTCTAAATTACAAGGTAAATTTTATCATCATCCTAAAATTCCATTTGTTCCTACTTGGCTGCCAAGTATCACAGATGTCTGTTTTCTAATTATGCTTTTTACTTCTTCTCCATCCCTTCTACCTGTGAGCAAAGTTATCATGAATGTACTCACATTTATACCATAAAGCATTGTTTGTCAGATCTTAACGTGCTATCTCTTTCAAGACTATCACAATTTAATACCTTTTTATTAAATCTCAAAGAGTAGAATTTTACATGTATAACCAAAAATTTGGGGGGTAGGAAGTTCTTTACAACATTGAAAGACTTCCTTTGCTTATGTGACTTAAAATCACACCCTAAATTTAGAGAAACATCTCATTAAAAGAAAATATGTTTATGATGTAGCATAAAAATGTAGAGTAACAAATGCAAATATATGTCTCTTGAACCAAATTAACCTTTTCATTTTTCCATTTAAAATGAGATATTTGGCACAATAGCATATTTACCTGCTTCTCTCTCCTTTTTTCTTTGATGTTTATTTACTTTTTTGCAAGATAATAATGCTTGAATATCTGAACTGTTGTCAGCCAAATATTACATTTCTTCATGGAAAATTTTTACGTAGTATGGAGTAATATAACTATTTCAAGTTGATCAAAATAGATATAATCATTCAATCAGTCATTTATATAAGGAACACTAATTATGTAATGCAGCAAGAAGTGGCTTCTATATTCATAAAGTAACTTTATCATCATGCATATTTTTAATAATGTAGTGATGCTTAGCTTGTCATATGTTAAGGTATTTCATTTATCCAAAATAAACTAAGATATTTATACTATATAAAGAACTCTCAAACCCAGCAATTTAAAAAAATCCAATTAGAAAATTGGCAGAAGACATGAACAGACATTTCACCACAAAGGAGACATGGTTGGTAAATAAAAACATAACAACATAAGTTTTCAACACAATTGGCCGTTAGGAAAAATGCAAATTAAAACCACAATAAGATATCACTGTCTATGTACTAGGACAGATAAGATAACAATTTAAAATATGGCGATAATACTGAATGCTGGCAAGGATGTAGAAAGACCGGACTTCTCATATATTGCTGGTAGGAATGTAAAGTGGAATAGCCACAATGGAAAATAGTTTTTCAGTCACTTATAAAACTAAACAAAAACTTACTGTGTAACCCAGCAATCACACTCTTGGGCATTGATCACAGAGAATTGAAAAATTATGTTCATACAAACCTCTGTGAATGAAGGTTGATTGCTGTTTTATTAGTAATAACAAAAAGAGGAAACAACGCAAATGTTTTTCCATGATTAAACTATGCTACATTTAAAGAATGGAACTCTACCCAGCAGTAAAAAGAATTAACTATTGATAAATATAATATCCACTTTGATGGACCTTGAGACCGTTATGCTATTGTCGTTTTCAAAATGACAAAACTATACAGAGGAAGAGTTATTAGTGTTGTGAGGAAGCATATGCTGGAAATAAAAGAGGATATTAGGAGGGAGTTGTTTTTTTTTTTTTTTTTTTGAGACAGAGTCTCACTCTGTCACCCAGGCTGGAGTGCAATGGTGCAATATCAGCTCACTGCAACCTCTGCCTCCCAGGTTCAAGCGATTCTCCTGCCTCAGCCTCCTGAGTAGCTGGGATTACAGGCGCGTGCCACCGTGCCCAGCTAATTTTTGTATTTTTAGTAGAGACGGGGTTTCAACATTTTGGCCAGGCTGGTCTCGTACTCCTGAACTTGTGTTTCTTTAGAGTGATGAAATAGTTTTAAAGTATCTTGTTTATGGTGGTGGTTACAGGAATTTATACATAAAACAAAATTGCATAAAATATAGACAAAAACATGGAAAGTGGTGAAATTGGGATAAGGTCTGTAGTATTAACAGTATTGTACCAATATCAGTTTCCTGGTTTGATATTAAACTTTAGTTACATAAGCCGTTACCACTCGGGAAAAATGGGAGAAAGTTAAATGTGACTGTACGTCCTGTTTTTACCACTTCTTGTGACTCCAAATTATCACACCATTGCACTCCAACCGGGGTAACAAAGAGAGACCCTGTCTCAAAAAACAAAACAAAAAAATAATTAAAATGTCATAGAAACACATTCTGCATAAAATAAGTGCACATATAAGGCAAAATAAACAAACTGCATCACTATTATGGTTGCTGTGAATTACAGATGTCAATGATTCTATGATGTATCAGCCATTTTTCTAGTTTTCATAGTTTATATGGTTTAAATAATTTGTGGAATATTCTTTAAAAACAGAAGTTTGAAACAAATAAATTTATGTGGAGATAAAAAGGAGCACAATTAAAAAATAATAACTGTTAAATATTTTATTTTAGCCCCAAAGGACCCACCTAACAACGTGACATTTCAGAAGATACCAGATGAAGTTACAAAATTTCAATTAACATTCCTTCCTCCTTCTCAACCTAATGGAAATATCCAAGTTTATCAAGCTCTGGTTTACCGAGAAGATGATCCTACTGCCATCCAGATTCACAACCTCAGTATTATACAGAAAACCAACACGTCTGTCACTGCAATGCTAGAAGGACTAAAAGGTGGACATACATACAATATCAGTGTAAGCATCCATAGATTTAATTACCAAAATGACAATGTGAGTTTATGAACTTGGCATTTGAAAATATTGCAGTTTGTGTACACATTACATTTCCCATATCTTTTTGTGAGTTTGTTTGACATGTCAACAAAAATAAATTTTGAGAACTGAAATTGCCTGTTATTATACAAATATTATTAAAATTAAAATGCATAAATAACTAAGAAGTTTGTACCATAATAGTAGAAACTCAGAAATAAAAGAAAGAAAATGCACGTTAAAAGTAAAAGAAAAAAAAGTAAAAGAACAATGATATATAAAGACATAACTCTGCCTGAAAGAAAACTATGTGTGATTGTAAAATTTAAATGGAAAAGCAAATTTTAAGGGCAAAGAATAGAAGTAATTGTCTACATGTTTGAAATTCTCATGTATTTTAACCAAGTATTACTAAAAGTTAATAGCATTTTATATCTTAATTCTAAATTACCTATATCTGGACAAAATTGTATACATGAGTTCCTATACATACACACAGACATATACATACACAATTTGTTATATTCTTTGCCTACTTTTAGGTCATCTTGGAATTTTTAAATAAAATTATATGATTCAGAAAAATCATCTTCTAAGAAACAGAATTTACTTTAAATCTTCAATTAGCTTAGTAATCTACCTACCAACTCTTTATTAATATCAATGTAATTATCAGAACATTGGTAATAATTTATATATGTGTATGTATAACATGAATAAATTTTTATTTACTACTCTCACTCACTTTGACTTTATATCTTTATAAAATCAAACTTGCTGGGATTCTTCTTGCATGGGCCATTAAATGATCACCATTGTGAAAGATCTATTAGAGAGAAGATGGTTACAAAGAGAATGAAGTAACCTGGGTTGAAATCCTGGCTTCTGTGCCTGGGCAGCTTTATCAAATCTGTTCCCCAGTTTCCTTATGTAAAAAATTGGTAATGGGAATAATAACTTCTTTATAGAATATTTGTGAGGATTAAATATTTATAGTTATGGTAGGTAGTGAGTTCTATAAATATTTTGGCTATTGTAAGAGAGAAAATAGGAACCAAAAAAGTGCAACTAATTAATATTTTTTTAAAATCCTATTTGCAGAGTGCAATTTGCAACACCCTTAACACCTTGAAGTTTGTTAGGATGTGTAACTTTAGCATCTGTACTGACTACTGAATCAAAATCTGCATATTTGCATTTAACCAGGTTTGCAAATGACTTCTTTGCGCACTGCAATTTCAGAGGCACTACCCAAACTTTTTGCTTATTATTTCACTTAAATGTTAGATTGTAACATAAAGAAATAAAAATAGTGGACCATACCATAGCATCTCTTTTTATCTTTCATACTTCTTTTTTTGAATTTATAAACTCAAATATTTTCTTTAGACATTTTTAAGCCACATTTTATGGTATTTGTTTATCATATGTACTACATCATGTATATTGTAATATTAATTCAATAAAAATGTTTACAAAGTATCTAGAGTGTGGAAGGGTGGGCCACAAATGTATAAAAAATTAATTCCAATAAATGCTTTAGATACTGAATTGGGTGTATTGATTACAATAAAATATGCCAAGAACATAACCTTTGTTAAATATAGCAAGATAAAGTGCATAAAAGAAGATTCTGTGTCTACAGCTTCCTTAGCACAAAGTTAATTGAAAGGATTCACATTTGTGTAAATCACCCTCTGTGTATACAAACAGAAATGTTTTATGTGTATATGCTGCTTTATGCAGGTTATAGCGTCAGATACTTTGGGGCAGGGGTGAAGAAGGGCATAAAGGCCAACTTTCAGGGGGATGATTTAATACAGGAAAACTGGGAGGCTAAAGGAATAGGATTTCATCTCAGGGAGGGAAAAAAAGAGGATCTTGAATATGGATTTAAAGAAGGCCAGAGTTAGCTAGCTACAGAGAAGGAACAGATGTTGGAGTAGATGAAGGGAGAACACATATATAGTGATATGTGCTGTTCACTAAAGCACATATATAGTGCTTTAGTGCTGTTCTTCCTGTGTTCACACTGAAACCACCGTCTGTCCAGGTCTCAGTGATAGGGCTGTTTAGATCACTCAGTCTTTGTTCTCAGCATTTAGTACCAGAACATCAACTTTAAGAAATATTTAATAGTTAATGTTCTTCCTCACATATTATATTTGAGTACAAAAAAATATAATTAACAGACTACATACAGTTGTTTTTAAATAATCATTTAAAATTACATGTAACCATAACCAGTTATATATACACATAAGCAGTAACTTGAAAATAGCAACAATGTTTCTTTGTTTTAGGTTTATGCAGTCAATAGTGCTGGTGCAGGCCCAAAGTTTCCAATGAGAATAACCATGGATATCAAAGGTACGTGCATGAACTACCTTCCTATGAAATGCTATCAACCTGTGATTATAATTTGAATTCTATACTTGAAATAGGATATAGACAAGCCTTCAAGTGATAAGTATGCATATATTAAACATATATTAAGTAATAATGTGTGATTATTAAAGCTATAGTTAAAATGTTGAAATAATGATGTAAATTACCATGTTAAAGATAATGTATTTTTTATTTCTTTAATATATTTTATATTTCTAAGTTTAAATTTTTAAAGGCAAATTTTATAGTCTGTTGTTTTATGTTTCTCTAAATTTTACTGAAAAGAAAATGTTTTTAAATTGTCTACCATTAGACTTTGACTAAGTCTAAATAGATTATTAGATTATTTGACTGATCTTTATTTACCTTGGAAGTCAGATTATTTCAGTTAATCAAATAGTGTTTTTTGAACTACCATGTAGTTGGATTTATGATTCTGATTATAAAGAAAGTCTATCAATTCATGATTCTGGCAGGTATTTTTTATAGAAAATATAACTAAAATTTGGGTCCCCCTTTTGAAAAAAAACACACACACACACACAAAACCCAGAAAAAGGTGAATTTAGGGCCATTCAGACAATCACAGTGCCCTCTCTTCCTGAGAGTGAAAACAAGCAGGTAATAGTTGTGCCATCTCTCTCTAAAAATGTGTAATAAAACCTTCAGAGAGGTTTTTAAAACTGAAGTGGATGGACTTTTAGTAGAATTCTACCTGATAAGTCTCTTTCTGAAGCAAAAAGTAACTTTTTTCAGTCTTGCGCAAATACAGCAGAGCACAGTGATTAAAAGTGGCAGCATTAGGCTGGGTTTATGGTCAAACTGCTGGATTGAATATGGATTAGCCACTTGATATCTGTTTGACTTTGAGAAAGTTTCTTAACATTTATAGGCCTGCAAAATGGAGATAATACTAGTTCCTATCTCAAAGTTTGTTGTGAGGATTAAAAGAGAATCTGAAAAAAACCCTTAAGACCTGAGCCTGGAAACTTGTACTATTAAGAATTTTAAAAAATCACTGTTGGATGAAACTGATAAATTTTATCTTTTTGTCAATGGAGTATTTATATAATTGTGATCCCATTGGTGATTGTTTGATTTTAATTGATAAATTATGTACTTTGGGATGTACAAATGCATAAAGTCTTAAAAAAAATCAATTACTTCACAAAATGACTTCACAAAGAATACCATGAGTCATGCCATCTTAATTTCTTTTCGTTATTCAGTGGCAGACATGTAGGTGTGCAGATAGCAATACATGCATCACTTGTATGCTTTAGTAAAACTTCCCATTTCAGATGCTTTTCCCATCCCCGTACCAAGATGGTTAATCTTGACCTTTACTCCTTACCTAAGGCAGGCAGACTTATGACTTCTAGTCTAGAGAAGATATATGAACATAGTGTTAGTGGTGGGGACCTAGAGAAATTAATTTTTCTCTATCAATACACATGATTTTATTAATGATGTGAAATATTGAATTGGTAGTAGTCTCATGGAATTTGCATTTGACAGATAATATGAAGTTGGACAGTAATGTTCATGCTGGGTTCCTCTAACTGGAAACCTTTGCCTGGGGACTCCCCAGTGGCCTGACTGAGAGTCTCAGGGCTCCATGAAATCTGAGCCTCTTCCTACTGAATCCTGCCTTTCATCTTCCCTTTTACAAGTGTAATATTTGTGATCTGTGGCACTTACTCTTTCTCTCTGTCCCTTAATTCTTCATAGATAATTCCTCCAATAAACCACTTACACATCCAATCTAATTTTAGCCTTTATTTCCCATAGTACCCAAACTGATACATTGAGTAAGAAACTTGCATTTGAATCTGATGCTCAAAAAAGAGTGAACTACAGAATTAAGTAAAAAAAAAAAATGGATTCAAATGTTGATAGTTATGTTGATAACTATGTGACATAGGCTCTTTTGCTTATCTACAAAATGAAAACAATATTGCCAATTCTGTGACATTATTGAGAAACGTTTAAAAAAGATTCTTAAAAATATGGAAATTAAAATTTGGTTAAGTAACTTACTGATGTTCAAGCAGTACATTCACACACACACACACACACACACACGCACGCACAGAGAGAGAGAGAGAGCTATAAGATTAAATGAAACAAGCAGAGCTTCTATACATATATTTTGGAGATATTTGTATACATTGATTATAAATTATGAATTATCATGGCTATTCTAGAAGTTATTCTGGTAATCTGTTAAGATTAAAAATATGTGTATCTTTTGTTCTAGAAATTCTGCTCTTAGGAATCTATTTAATAGAAACAAAAGGATCAGTAAATAAAGCCCATTGTAGAACAAGGCTAATTATTGTAGCACATGTTTAAAAACTGGAGGAAAAGTGAATTCTCATCATCAGATGAATAGTTGAATAGATACGACGCAGCTGCACCGTGATATATAATATAGTCATTAAGAAGAATGAGTTAGCGCTGTACCTGGTCACTTGGAAACACTTAACCAAGTTATATTTAAGCAAAAAAGTAATATGAGGGGTAATTATAATACATACCACATTAGAAAAGCAAACAGTGAGAAGATTGTGTTGTGTATGACTATTTATGTATTTTTATATGATTATGTGAACATAGGAAAAAATATGGGAGGCTATCATCTAGATGTTTAGCATGGGTTAACTATGGGAGGGGTGCTAGTATGACTAGAACAGAAATTAGTGAACCAACTAAAAGAAGCAAAAGAAACTACACTAACATTGTAGTAAGAAGTAACTATATTTATGCATTTATTAAAAATATATATGAGTGAGAGAATATATAAATTGAATTTTAAAATGTAAAGAGGTGTCAGATGCCTGAAAATCACACCTGGGCTCTATTATCTCAGGAAAGTCTCAAATATATAATTGTGATTTCCGGACATAATAATTGCTAAGTATCTTCTCTCTCCAAACACAACTCTTTATAATTCGTTGTTTATGCTTGTCATCACTTTATCTGTAAATTATCTGCATGAAAGGAGAAAGGTTTTTTCATCTCTTGATGAAATAAACATTGTAGTGATATTTCTTCTTTGTTTACAGCTCCAGCACGACCAAAAAGCAAACCAACCCCTATTTATGATGCCACAGGAAAACTGCTTGTAACTTCAACAACAATTACAATCAGAATGCCAATATGTTACTACAGTGATGATCATGGACCAATAAAAAATGTACAAGTGCTTGTGGCAGAAACAGGAGGTATCATCAAATGTCAATTTATCTTGTTAAATTGTGGAGTGTAAATTGCTGAGTGCTAAGAAGAATTTAGTTCAAATTAAGATTGACTCCCAGTTATCACACACCTCCTGAGATTAATAGGTTGTCAATATTATTATTAATGATACCAATCATTTATTTGTAAATAAAAAATAACATTTATTTATTTTATTTATAAAACTTTTACAAATATTTATACCAATTATTTATTTTCATTTACCAAGCAAGGAAAGGCACAGTTATAATATGTGATTCATTAATTTCATATACTAGTAGATAAACATGTTTTGATTTTGGTAAGATGGAATCTTGATAGTGTCTTTGGAGGTGTGGACAAGTGAGTTACTCTTGATTGAGGGATGTTCTTTCTCTATGCAAGAAATCATCCTTTATAATAGTTCCTGTAGATTCGTGTAACAGAGAAGAACAGGGTTACCTGCCTATCGAGGTAGACCACGTGAATCATCTCTGGTGGTTCATAGAGTGGCTGATGTTGCATACAGATTCCCCTTATACAATTATAAAAATACTGTTTATAAATGTGAAAATATGTTCATATGTTACTTTTAATTATTATCCTCTTTGTTTCTGAAAATAGCTCAGAATGATGGAAATGTAACGAAGTGGTATGACGCATATTTTAATAAAGCAAGACCATATTTTACAAATGAGGGATTTCCTAACCCTCCATGTACAGAAGGAAAGACAAAGTTTAGTGGTAATGAAGAAATCTACATCATAGGTGCTGATCATGCATGCATGATTCCAGGCAATGAAGACAAAATTTGCAATGGACCACTGAAACCAAAAAAGCAATATTTGTAAGTATAAGTTGTATCTACCATGCATTCTGTTAGCAAGCTAGTTAGTATCTTTCATCCATCCATCTGCCTATCCTTTCATCTTTTCAATATGCACTGGACGTCCACCACGTAGAGTGACCTGATTTTTCAGGCACTAGGAATGGAAAGATAAACCAAGCATTCTTCTCACATTCCATAAATGTACAGTATTATAGGGGAAGCAGACAACCCTAAGAGTAGTTATGATTTGATATAAGTTACATAAGAACAATATGAAAAATGTGCTATGGAGAACGTAGGCATATAGAAGAATTTAATTCTTTCTGTGGAAGACAATATGACTAATGTGTTTTCCACTTATTATTTTGCCATGCATGCTGATGTACGGGGTTTTAGAAACACTGTCCTATCCTTTTATTTAATAGTGGCTTCCCTTTATGTCACTCATAACAATAACTCAGCTTTTATCTCATCAAACATCTGTGTGATAGAAATATTTAATACTGCCTTTAATATTTAGCATTTTGAAGCCCCTAAAAACCTAACATTTTAAAATCAATTTGATGTTTTGGCTTTATTGAATTATTTTCTCAATTTATTATTTTCCTCTTGAATCAATTTTATTATTTTTATATCATAAGACTACAATTTTTAAAAGAATCATCTTAACGTGTGATTTTCAAAATATTATTTTTACTTACAATTTTTTAAATGCAGACGCTTTTATTTGTGCCTGTTAGTTAAAACATCAAATTCTTTACAAATGTCTCAAGCCAAGTTAACATTGGAAAAATTAGAGAAATTAGGCAACTAAAAATAATGCTTTATTATCTGTATTAAATGCAATTACTTCGGTTCAAATTCTAGGTTATTGCCTGAATGTCTATTACAATTACGATAGTTATGAAAATGATATACTCCCAAGTATCATGTTTATTCATACTTACAGTTTATCTATTTTGTATATTTGTTCTGAAAACAGACTCTTCATATAACAAAATCATACTTTTTTATAATTATTTCTTGAATTATTCATAGGAAAAATCATATGATATGCAAAGTGTGTTTTTTTTTCTTTTTTCTTTTATAGATTTAAATTTAGAGCTACAAATGTTATGGGACAATTTACTGACTCTGATTATTCTGATCCTGTTAAGACTTTAGGTAAGACATATTTTGTAGTTATAATCTCAACATATTTATCAAAGTTGGAACATTTATTAGTGATGTTATTTACTTGGAACATTTATTAGTAAATATATTAATCCATGTCTAGATGTTCTTAAATGCAAACTCATTTAAATGTAAATTAGCCTCTCTAATAGTATTGGTGGGTTTTTAAATTTTTTTATTTTAGGTGTGGGGGTACCTGTGGAGGTTTGTTACATAGATAAATGTGTCATGGGGGTTTGCTGTACATATTATTACATCACCTAGGTATTAAGCCCAGCACCCAATAGTTATCTTTTATGCTCTTCTCCCTCCTTTCACCCTCCCCCATCAAGAAGACCCCAGTATCTCTTATTTCTTTCTTTTTGTTCTTAAGTGCTTATCATTTAGCTCCCATTTATAAGTGAGAATGTGTGGTGTCTGCTCTTGTGTTCCTACATTAGTTTTCTAAGGATCATAGCCTCTAGCTCACTTCATGTTCCCACAAAAGATATGATCTTGTTCTTTTTTATGGCTGCATAATATTCCATGGTGTCTGTGCACCAAGACACATACACACAAATGTTCATTGTAGAATTGTTCACAACAGTAAAGACATGGAATCAACCTAAATGCCCACTAATGACAGACTGGATTAAGAAAATCTAATAGTATTTGTCATCTTCCTTTAAAAGATGGATGTTCCATACATTCTAATCTGGGCATAGATTTTGTTGGAGTATTGATTCTGTGCTGAGATTACTAGCATTATACCAAATACACATTTCTTTGGTTATTTTAATATATAATCTTAAATATAAACTAATGAAAGAGAATTATGCTTGTGGAAAATTTCCTTAAATAACCCTAAAAACTATACTCTTACAAGTGCTTTTTAATATAGTTATTTATTTTAAACAACTCTTTCATGACTTTCTTTCACTTATACCCATCTAAATCAGGCCTACATAAAACAGGAATGCAGTTTAGTCAGATGTATGTATATATCATCATCATCTCATTATCACCATTGCCATAGTCATATCTAACATTAAATATTCTGTGCCTGACATGCTTCTAGCTCTTTGCACATATTCACTGGCAAACTCATCACAACTATCTGTTAAGCTATGTCAGTGCCCCAGGGGATATTTGGCAATGTCTGGATCCATTTTTCTTTGCCACAACAGAATGGTGGTGGTGGCGGTGGTGGTGCATGCTACTGGCATATAGTGGGCAAAGATTAGGAATGTTGCTAAATTTCTGCAATGTACAAAACAGCCCATAATGTCAGTGGTCCTGAGGTTGAGAAACTCTGACTTAAGCCCTAATGTTCACTCCATTTTACAAATGAGGAAACCAACGCTCAGATTCTTTAAGCATTTAAATGTCTAGGCCACGATTCCAACATCACAGAACAGGAATTCATAACACTACATTACAAATACAGGACTTAGACCTGGGTTCAAATCTTGGCTCTGCCACTTGAGAAAATAATTTAATTTCTATAAATCTGAGTTTCCTTTGTTGGGAAAATATTGATGAAAGTATCATCCTTGAGGGGTCGTTGAAGTTTTACATAAAACAACCTATATAAAAATATTAATATTTTATAGTTAGTAAATTTTTAATGTTTATTAGCTTTTTCAGATAGGTTACTATAAAATATTTTAGAAGTATCCTTATTTAGGAGAAATTATTTCTCTAGAATTTCAATGAGAGTATCACAACATTCTATATTGTTTGCACCAAGCCCTCAAAAGCCCCAATGTATTCATCTGTAATACTTTAAGGAACTACATGAACAGGGTACCTCTGAGGCACCACTTGAGAATGTGAGACTTTGTGTGTTGCTCAGTGTATCTTGAACTGCTAATAGATTTCAGTGTGAGTTATGACTGAAGAATCATTGTCCCACCATTTTTAGCCAGAAATTCTCATCAGATTGTGGAAATATTAATTGTATAAAAAGCCTCTACATCCTCTGCATAGTCAAGGAAACTTTGCATCTTGAATAAAGAAAGAAGGGACATATGGTTTGCTACACAGATGTTTGTAGAGAAATAGCAAATACCTTTCTTTGGCTAAAGTATTTGTTTCATTTCATTAAAATCATTGGTTTGATTAACTTTACCCTATAATTTCATCATTTTAAAGCTAGCTGATTAGTCTTGTGGCTTTGAAATTGTGTCAGGTGTTTCTGCATCTGATAGATGAGTCCTTCACACTCTGATGCCACTACAGTAAAATAAATGTCTTCTTGTCATCAACATAATTTCCTATAGGTTACAGCATTCAGAAGCCATCACTTCAGCTAAGTAGTGATCCTGGTGCATTTACCAATGGAAGGTAAAAAACCTAGACAAGACAGATAACTCGCATGTCTTAGGAGATAATATTTTGCAGGAGCAGTGCTGAAAGGCGCTAGCCTTGCTGTGTAGTGAGATGTTATCTTTCATCAGTTACTGGTTTCATACAGATTACTGATGGGAAGGCAGCATGTTCACTCAGTTATCTGAGAGGCAAAGTTGAGACATTCAGGGTAACAGAAATGACAAAGACAAGCCATAAAAGCGGGGAGCCCCAAGCATTGGGAACCATGGTGCACAGCAGCATGATTCTCTAGATTCTGCTAAATGGCTTCTCTCTGCCCAATGGTGGCCTCATCCAGCACTATAGGTAATCTCAGGGAGCTCCTCAGTGATGGTCTTCTCTTTCTTCTTTCCACTTACAGTCAAGGTGGTGGAATACAACCATTAATTCTGAAATGTAGCAGAAATACATAGTTAGTTTTCTGATTCCTTCTTTGGAATTATAACCACTGCTGCCCCAATCATTTAGGTATGAACCTTTGTGTGCTGTGGTAACAGGAGGAGTCTACAGTGGGTAAGATATGTGTAATGAAGGACAGAGCACAGGATCCTGCCAAGGCTAAGGAAGGAGGGACTGGTGAAATGTAGACTGGACACAGTATACAGGAAGGCACTGGGCTGCTAAGGGATAGTGACAGTGAAGGGTCCTATGTATCTATTATCAAATAACTCAGAGTTCAGTATATTATTCATATGCCAGTGACATAATGACAGTCTTTCGGGCTGCTCCTTAGAGTGATCTTCCAGGGACTCTCTCCTGAGAGATAGCAGCTTTGTCATTGGCCTTTGCCCTACAATTCTTATTCTGGGTTGACCACATGGAGTTCTGCTATTTAGATAGATATTTATGTCTATCAATAAGGTACAATTATGCCTCTCAGAGACGTTATTATTTGGAGTTTAAAATTAGGGGCAAATACCATAGACTGATAAGCTTGCTTAGTTTGTAATCATTAGTTGTGGTGAAATGAGAATGCACCATTGGAGCAGAATTCCTCAATGACTAGCAAAGTAGCCCAGCCATTTTTCTGGTTAATGGATTTAACACCATCAGTTACTGTTATCACATTTGCTTTCTACCAGACTATTGAATATCATGATTCTATGGAGATTAGAGTCAACTTGATAGGTCAGACAATAAAGAAACCCCCCTAGAAGTGGTCCTGGTCCGTCTGACATTAATAGAAGACTATAGATCAGGGGTGTTCAATCTTTTGGCTTTTCTGGGCCACACTGGAAGAAGAATTGTCTTGGGCTACATGTAAAATACACCAACACTAACAATAGCTGATGAATTTTAAAAAATCATAAAACCATATCATACTGTTTTAAGAAAGTTTATGAATTTGTGTTGCGCCACATCCAAAGCTGTCCTGGGCCACATACAGCCCATGGGCTGCGAATTGGACAAGCTTGCCATAGATTCAAAAGAGTTCTTATTAAAAGAACATTGCCAAGAAAGAAACTCTAGAGGAACTCAGAAAGAAGTTGACCAATTCTGCAATGGTCAGTGCAAGAATGGTTTCATGGCTGTGAGGATGAAGGCAGGCAAATAATAAAGTGCATTCATATAATACCCCTGGTGTCATCAGAAGATGACAAAGGGTGATTGAGTCCTTTTTTCTCTCTCAAATATGTCATGTGCTGGGATATATGAATCATTTGCAGCAGGCTAGGGACTCAAACATTCCTAGCAAGCCTGCTGAAGACATATGTGTGTATGTAATCCCAGACTACAGAGAGAAGTCTAGGTCCCTTGAAGGTCATCCACCCACCAGGGGATAGGCATTCATTCACTGGCATTTTGCACACCACAGGCAGTGAGCACTAAGTGGAGTTGCCTATCTGTTGAAGCTTTAGGATTTAAGAGCGTTTGCAAGGCTGTGTTTCCACAGACCATTGTGATAGCAATTTTGCCTCTCAGAGATGTTATTATTTGAAGTTTAAAACTAGGGGCAAAAGAATCACCATCGACTGATAGAAATGTTTAAGTTTAGTGAGAGAGGGCTCAGTAGAGCTTCACTGGATGAATAAGTATGAGTCTGTGGAAGAGCAGTTTGCATTTAAAGAAACGTTTATGGCCTGTAGGGATAAACAGGGAAGATAACATATGCATTATTTTAATCTTAAATAAATACTTAAACTTATTTGATTTTGTTTTTACTCAAGATTGAGTATTGGCATTTTTATTAACAAAATTCACAAGAAACGTTAAACTTTTTGAAAAAATCCTCCTTGGGTGCTTCAGTTTATGGAAAGTGCATGTAGGCAATGTTTTGATTACAAGGTTTAATTATAGAGGAATCCTGTGATTTGAAAACCAGACACCCGTTTCTGTACCTTACAGGGCTCTCATTAAAGCTGAACACGATGAAACCTTAAACCTCATGGCAAAGGCACCCTGTGATTGTTTTCTTTTGTCATAATACTTCTCATTTCATTACTATGCTAACAATGAAAAGTTCCAATGTGCTCACATAGATTCAGAAATAGGGAGTTGCTATACATCTTTTCCATCCAAAGGATTACTTTTCCGAAGTCACCAGAGGAACAGAGGAACATTGTATTTTATAAAGAGACAGTGATAATGTGGTAGTGAACCTCACAGACTCTGTAGTCAAGACAGATATGTTTCAGGCAGTCTTAGTATATATCGAATTTATGAGATTGTGGGATAGTTACTTAACAAATTATTTTTAAGTTCTGAAATCTTATTTCTAAAATGAGAATATTAATACCCACTTCAAAAGCTAACTAGGAGATTATACCAGATAATAAATGGATGAATGAATATGAAATGTTTATTAATAAATATACCTGTCATTGTTTATTTACCAAGCCTTGAAGGGGTTTTACATATCAACTCATGCATCTTCACAGCAACTCTGTAACACTATCTCCTATTTGCATGTCCCCAATTTCTAGGTAAGAAATTTGAAGCATTGTATTTTTTTAGCAACTTGATCAAGGTTTTTAACCATCCCAAATGTGGTGATAGAACCTGCCTTCAGACCCAGGCAGCGTGACCGCAGTCAGTGCTGTACTTGTAACCATTGCACACACTGCCTGCAAATCACTAAGTACCCAAGTAGCTCCCAGTTTGTTACCATGGGTGATGTTTCTGCTCCCACGTACTTCCTATCTTTGCTATACCATTTTCTCTTCTTGATATTTTTAATTATTTCTAGCTGCTCTCTTTTCTCACACTTTTGTCTTGGCCTTTGAGGTTAGCATTCACAGATGAGCATGTGTTGTTTTTGTGTGCAAAGATATCGTTTCTTTTTATTTTTTTAACACTGAATAATGTGACCTTTTCTTACACCCTGGTAAGCACTTTACTAGCTACTTTTAAATTTTTGCCTGTCTATGTGGATGAAAATGACGTTCATCCCAATAGGGTGTTTTAATCTATATGTTTAAAATTTTATTGACTGTTGACAAATTATACATGTATATATTTATGGGGAACAGAGTGATGCCATGATGTATATATACCATGTGCAATGATTAAACCAAGTTAATTAACAAATCCATCACCTCAAATACTTATCATTTATTCCTCCTAATTTTATTTCTTGAATTATGAAATCGAGCAACTTTTTGTAAATTCTTTGTGCAGTGTTTGAGTATCCCAGGTGACTAGCACTGGGCCAAAAGAGAAGATGAGCCCCCTATTCTTTAGTCCTGTTATAAGAACTGATTTTTTGTAATAATAAGAAGAAGAAGAAAGAGGAGGAGAAAGAAGGAAGAGAGGAAGGAAGAAAAGATTCTCCATTTTATATGCACCTATATCAGGAGCCAGGAATTATACTATGAGCTTTATATCTCATTGAATTTGAGCTTCTTCTTAGAGAATAGGCTTAAAAACAGATTTTAAAAATTGGATACATATGCTGAATTTAAATAATGATGACTTCAGCCAGAAGGTGATACTTATGAAAAATTAGTGCTTTATGATTATGATTTGCCAAATTATAGTAGTACAATTTATCATGCAAACAGAACAATTTAACATGATTTGTCACAGAATTTAAGTCTAGTCAGAAATGACTGTGCCTATTACAAAAAGAATCATGTTTATATTTTTAAGTAAAAGGATTCCATTTTCTAATAAAGGATTTGGAGAAGTGATTTCATTCTGTACTGTGAATGCTCTGTGTGTCCAAGCATAGCAGTGAATCAGAAAGTGTACTTGATAATCAGGGAACATTTTGTCCTCTCTTAGTGACACTTTTGTAATTCATGTGCCCAAAGGATTACATATTGTTTATTAATATATTATATGTCACTTCCTCACTTGGCCAGTGCTTTGAAATGGTAATCTAATATGAAAAAAAAAATTTTGTGTGGTCTATGAGAACGTTTTTTTCCCAGTGTTCTAAGGCCCAGTGATTCATTATTACCTGATAAAGAGGATCCTTTATTCATCTTCATGCCTCATTTCCCAAGTATATTCAATTAGAGTCACCATGTAAAAATTCATAAATCAAACAATTTATATTTTAATGTATAAAAAAGTGTATCTAAAATACTTTATGTGATACATGCTGTTTTCCCATTTTTTAAATTTAGCTGGAGATTCTAGCAGACCATCAAGTGTTGATAACTGTTTTAAATTCAGTATTTATTCAAATCCACCCTGCAGGATAGCCACAGGAACCTGTTCATATTGGTAATATTTTATTTGTACCAATACAGGACAAAAAGATGAAGCATTAATACTTGCCTATTTTACAGATAGATAACCTAGTTTGTCACTTGACTGTAATACTTTTTTCAGTGAAATTTGTTTTATTTAGGCATTTGTTCACTTGTTTCTGAAGTAAAATATAACAGGAAGCATATTCCACCCCTAAATACTTTAGTATATTTCTCTAATAAATACGTTTTTATTATATCGCTGCAGTTAAACTTAACAATAAGTTATTGATATTATTTAAGCTACTTGTATATGTTTTCAGATCACCCTTTGATTTTTTATAGTTAATTTATTTGAATCAGCATCCAAATAAGCATTTACACATTATCTTTGATAGTTCTGTTTCTTTTCCCCCATGCCATAGACTCACTGAAGCAATCAGATAAGTTGTCATGTAGGCAGCCCCATATTCTGGATCTGTCTGAATGCTTTCTCTTGATGTCCTTTAGTTTTTTTTTTTTCTTTCCACCACTTTCTTATAGATTAGAAATAAGATCTAGAGGTTTGAGTATTCAAGGTCAACATTTTTGTCAGAAGTACTTTATAGGTCTTGCTGACTAGATCACAATACCCTCCATCAGGAAGTGTTGAATATCTGATTGTTACACATGATGCTAAGATTGATCAGTAGGCTTGGTGGCAGCAGCAACAGTATGATCCTTCAGTGGAAAGTTGGTTTTTACCACTTATAACCAGCAAATAATCTACAGAGTGGTATTTTGTCATCCTGCAAATGTCCAAATTCCGATTAACCTTCCTCCTAATCATTTTAGAATACATTTATGTTTGTTACCAGAATCAACTATTTCACTAGAAATACCAATTATTAATTTCTAATTTTATCACTCCTTTAACATTTATTCAACAAAATTCTCTTCTAATAACGATCTTTATTTCCTTGACTAGGGCTGTTTTTAAAAATTCATGAAATATAGTTAGTATAAGAAAGCCAGAAAAATATACATTTCAATTACAAATTAATTATGAATATTGACACCAAGGAGATGGTCTAGTTATAGCCAGTGTTTACAAATTAGTATTTTTTAGCTCTTGGGTACTAGGCATGATACCTGGGTGATGCAGTAACCTGTGCAGCAAACCCCCATGACACGAGTTCATCTATGTAACCAACATTCACATGTGGCCTCCAAATCTAAGACAAAAGTTAAAAAAAAAATCAGCACTCTTGTTATTTTATTTTATTAAATAATATTATTTGTTATTTTCAATCAATTTCTATTTTTATTCAATATAAGGCTTACATTCTTCCCTCTTTGGCCAGTAGGACCCCTTCAGTAGGATCATTTGTTTCTTTTATACCAGTAGCCTTTTGTTAGCTTCCTAGATATCTAGCACCATTATATGTCTTGAATTTGTTTTGTTCCTTACTCCCACTTTGGAATTACCATCTTTCTAAGGTTCCCTGGTTTCTTCGGTGAAAACTACAAATATGTTGAAGATAGAGCCTATGGAATTTCCTCATGTGTTTTGGGTGTGTTCTACGAAAGAAAGAGTCAAAGATGACTCCAGGGTTTTTGGTCTTAGCAGCTAGAGCAAGGAACTGTCCATCAACTGAGAAGTGGAAGGATACAGTTGAAAGGAGGGAAGTGTACACATTCAATTTTGGACACACCGATTTTAACATTTTAAGCATACTTCCAAATAAAGATGTCTAGTAGGCAGTTAGATATATAAGTCTGAAATTTGGTAGATAAAATCTAAGTAGTCATCATGATATAGATGAAATTAAAACTATAAGGCTAGATGAGCTCACACAGAGAGTGAATTTAAATTAAAAAAAAACAAGAGGACTTAGGACTGAGCTCCAAACTTAAAAAATAGAGAGGAGGAACAAATAAGTTGCTACATTTTACTAGTATTCTTCAGGAAAGAATATTTTCTTATGCCAAGAAATTTTTTTTTGGTAGTTTGGGATCCAAAATAGTATTCCATCCTAATATTTAATTATCATGTTATCCCTCTTTTCTAGGGGAAGGACTTTCAGAAAGAACTGTAGAGATCATTCTCTCCGTCACTTTGTGTATTCTTTCAATAATTCTTCTTGGAACAGCTATTTTTGCGTTTGCAAGGTAAGACTTATTTGTGCTTACATTCCAGGATGCTTTATGGGCATTATATCAGTCACAGGAGACAGAAGCCGCAACAGTTACTTGAATGGGAAACACTTTACTTTTTATATTTTTAATAGACAGATAAAAATGTATTTATCATGTACAATATGATACTTTAAAGTGTATGTGCATTGTGGATTGACTAAATCTAGCCATAAAAAAGAAAGAAACCCTGCCATTTGAACAGAAGACATTTAATTTAAAGAATTGTTAACTAGAGAAATGGCTAACTACTAAACAGAGTAAAAGAGAAATCTAAGAGTCCAGAAGTAGCAAGCACAACAAAGCAGCTACTTGCTTTAATTTGAAGGAGAGAGGACAGTAAAGGAACTAAGAACCGAAATAAGTTGTCTCCCAAGATTTACATGGAATCACTACTGCGAGCACATGCAACCTATCACCTATCAGTTAGCAAAGAAATATGACAGAGGCAAGGAGCTAGAGCTGTTCCGTAGAAGCTACCCATCTTTATTAGATGGTAGGCAGCCTGGAATTGGTAATAAAAGCATCCCATTCTTGCTGAATGGTGTAGGTGAGCTGGTACTACTTGGAATCATTCACCAATGGAATGGGCAGAACGTTCACTTCAGAGGCAACAAGAGCTCATCCAGGTGAATTGCTGGACTCTCAATGAGTAACAATAATGCAGGACTGGATCCCAAAAGGGCAGGGTTTTCCTCTTCCTCTGCCTCACATGGTCACTCTAGTGCCCTCTATTGACAAAGCCTAACATTCTGCCCGCTGGCAAAGGAGAAATATAGGTTCCAGCTCCAAAATCAAAGAGCAGAGCAAAAAAGATGAGGTTTGGAGATGATGAAAGACAATAAAGTGAAAACACAAAAGCAGAAGCTTTCAGGCCATCTGTCTTTTAAAGTAATTTATAACTCTGATAGGTTTAATTTAAAATATCTCAATCAGGTCTAAATATTAAAGTTTATACAGAAAGAAATCTTTTTACAATGAGAACAACACTTGTAAAATGTCCAGTTTCCTTATATAGTAGACCCCCTTCTTATGCTTACTTTATGAACATGTCTGTGCTGAATTTTCCAACTACATCTTTCCATTCTCAGCATCAGCATCAGCATCCTAATTCCCTTATTATTTATAGGACCTCATCGGAAATCTTACTTCCTGACCTCAAAATCTAGCTTCATAAGTCAGATTGCCAAGTTAAAGGGACCTTACGTTTGTAAAGATAACCCTTCTACCAATTTCCTAAATAGTTCGATAGACCATTTTTATTTCAACCGAAGAATGTAGTTCTGTATTCTAAATGCCATGTATCATGTTTCATCTTGACTCCCGTAAAGCATCATTTTAATAGATTGTTTGAAAGGCTCTTGAAAAAATATATTTTCTCTATACCCACATACTGTTCAAGATTTAGGCAGAATACAGTAAAAGAGTCATTATTCTAGGTACTTTGAATGCTATACTGTATGAAATATGGTCCTTTTCCCTAAGAAGTATGCACTGGCCACATTTATATAATTTCCCTGCTCTAAAATCTTCTCTGACTTCTCATTTCTCTACAAGATGAGCTCCTTATGTAAGCAGGAAATGGTCCTCCTTATTCCCTACAACTGTCCTACATACTAGCTAAAGGGATCTGTTCTCACCTGAACATTCCTTGGGCTTTTTATACATTCTGCTTTTGTTCAGTCAACCTGAAATGTGCTTCCTCCTCCTTCTTATCCTGGAGCATCCAAGTCAAATTCTACTTCTTTACTTCCTCTAAATAATAATAACTATAACTTATGTAACCAATCAGGCACTGTGTTATGATTTGTAATTTGAATCGTTTTTCTCTTGTTTACGCTTTTTCTGCATTTAAATCTTGCCTCTCAACTAAATTGTAATGTCCTTGAGGGTAGGGAACATGTTTTATACTTTCTATATCATCCTTGATACCCAGCTCTCGAGAAATACTAAATATTTGAAATGTGAAAGAATAACTAAACATTACTTTGTAATATACCCTATTGTGTCATGGAGAAATAAGCATGTAAAGGGCTTAAGATGAAAAGAATCTGATTTGATTCTCAGATTCGTGTGACTTTTATTTTGAACCTGAGTTTTCTGATTGTAAAGATAATATCTACTCACAATATTTTTAAAAAATTTGATGATAGTTTGAAAACAATTTTTACATATTTTCATGCATGTAAAAATTTTCATATATGTGAAAACAATGGTGCATTATCTTTTAGCACTAGTATTGATAGCACTGAACTATTTTCACTTTGGCATATTTCCTTTATGTGACAAATCAGTGAGATAGCTAGAGAGAAGAGAAACAAGATCACAGCATAAGTCTTCTTGGTTCTACATTTTAAATGTACCTATGGCCCAGGCCTTCTATCAACTAATTCTTATGGAATTTGGAACTTCATCCCAATAACTTATTAAAAAAGGAAAGTACAATAAGTTCGATGGAATTAAAACAAGAAAAAGAATTTGAGTAGCTATAAATTTGCAACATATTCAGAGAGGTGATTTTAACCAAGAAATTATTTGTCTAAATGTCTTTACTTGAAAGCTAAACCTAATTTTATGTGCTTTCTATGACACTCCCTTCTTGGACTTTACTGCAATCTTTTTAGAATTCGACAGAAGCAGAAAGAAGGTGGTACATACTCTCCTCGAGATGCAGAAATTATTGACACTAAATTCAAGCTGGATCAGCTCATTACAGTGGCAGACCTGGAACTGAAGGACGAGAGATTAACGCGGTGAGCACACTCCTCTGGGTGAACTGTGGTCCAGAGGGCCTGAAGCCATGACCCTATTCTGATCTATGCTTGTTGGAAGTGTTTGTGGGGCTCCAATTTACACAGGTCACAGAGATCTTCTTTCAAAGAGTGACCTCCGTCTTCTACACACTTCTCACTGGTGTTCGGAGAATCACTTAATCTTCCTAATATTTTGAGTTAAATATGAACTTCGGACTATAATGTTCAGCCAGGATTATTTCCTTGAGACAAATATTTTCCCACATTAAACCTTTGACATTATGTTGAATAATTCATTTCATATGATAGATTTTTACATTTAACTTTTCTGGAAGTGTCCACATTTTCAATCACAGGTTTAACTTAATTAAATTTATAATTACTTGATAATTTATGTATATTTTTATAAAAGCCTTTTATAACTATTTTAGTATAAAATTACATAAAAGTCTAAGTTGCATATATTTTTAAATTGCTTTGTATTTAAAAATTAAATATAAAGTAAAAAGATACCTTCAGAAGGAAAAGTTAAAACGTGTGCTAAGTATGTTTCGTTGTTACCTATTAGAAATAGTAAAGTACATAATTTTTAAGAAAAATAATTATAAATTCTTTTAAAAGTATAAATTATTCAAAATGTTGGCACGTTATAAAACTTTGTCTATTAAGATAATTCATCAAATTCTTAACAAAAACTACCAGTAGGCTATTTTAGCAAGTTTATGTTTTTATACAATTCAATAATATGTACTGCTTATAAGCACAAACTAATTGTCACCAGGTACTTGCACAGCCCTGTTAAATTTTTTTTTTAAATATTAATTTTGAAAATACAGCATCAAAGGTCTTGGACTCAAAAATAATTATTCATTTTAGTTGTCACTTATTAAAGTTGGACTTTTTCTAATAGATGGACTTTGCAAGTATATTTCCAGCCTATCTAAAAATATCTAATACGTGCTATAGAGGGAAGTGTCATTTGATAAGTAAGATCCTTCCAAATGCTACAAAATGAAGGTTATTCAATGTTATCACTAAATTTCAGGGAAATATGCTTTCTTGGATATGAAAACTGACTTTTTAAACATTTGGATGTTGATCTTCATGTTCTGGTACAGTGGTCCTGTCCACAAATGGATAGTACTCCAAAGATTTAAGTGTCAGATGATGTAAATTACCCAAGAAAATAGTTTTCTATATAAGAAATATTGGCCAGGTATGCTGGCTCACACCTGCATTCCCAGCACTTTGGGAGGCCAAGGTGGGCAGATCGCCCGAGGTCAAAACCAGCCTGGCCAACATGGCAAAACCCCGTCGCTACTAAAAATACAAAAATAAGCTGGGCGCAGTGGTGAGCGCTTGTAATCCCAGCTACTCAGGAGGCTGAGGCAGGAGAATGCCTTGAACCAGAAAGGCTGAGATTGCAGTGAGCCAAGATCATGCCATTGTACTCCAGCCTGGATGACAGAGCGAGACTTTGTCTCAAAAAAAAAAAAAAAAAGGAAATATTATGTATTACCCAGTGTAACTCACCTAAGTAAAGCCGTATCATAGGAACACAAGCACTGCTACTACTAGACTGTGTCTCAATCCTTAAGGAATCATTCTGCATCATCAAAGAAAGTTTCTCCTCCTTTCCCCCTATGGGCCAAATGAATTGTAGTGGTATCCTCCCAGCTTCCTTTCTGCACACCATTCTCAGTTCCTTGTGCCCCTCCTCAGGCCTGTGTGGCTCGTCCCTTTCTTCTATACCTGACAATGCACAAGAGATAAAATTCAAATTTCTCAGTGCAATTAATTTTAGCTATTTGAACAATATAGTTGAATCTGTTCATACTAAAATGTAAACTTCTAAGACCAACCCCATCCCCAACACTGGTAGGACATTTTCATTTTGTTAAAAAAAATACTTAGTTACCCTTGAAAAGTCCTTAATAAGTATATATCCAGGAAATATAATAAAGTGAAAAAGCTGTTTATTGTGTCATGTTTTTAAACAGACAATAATGGAAAAAGTATTATTTATCAAAGAGGTTACATTCTAGGCAGACTGTGGTGAGATTCAATCCCCTAAGCACTAGGTATTTTCACAGCTTGTTCCTTTCACTACTTCGGAATACTAAATACAGCCATTATAAAAAATTAGAAATGGCTGGGTGTGGTGGCTCACGCCTGCAATCCCAGCACTTTGGGAGGCCAAGCAGGGTGTATAACCTGAGGTCAGGAGTTTGAAACCAGCCTGGCTAACATGGTGATATCTCATCTCTATTAAAAATATAAAATTAGGCTGGCATTGTAGCATGCATCTATAGTCCCAGCTACTCAGGAGGCTAAAGTAGAAGAATCGCTTGAACCAGAGAAGTGGAGGTTGCAGTGAGCTGAGATGTGCCACTGCACTCCAGCCTGGGTGACAGAACGAGACTATCTCAAAAAAAAAAAAAAAAAAGTTTTTTTGGTTTGGTTTTTGGTTTTTGGTTTTTTTAGCAATGACTGTGATGGCAGCTACAGAAAGTTTCACATTATGGAAAAGGTGGGCAAGGAATGTAAAGATAACTGTTGGTTGTTTATAATTCAGGGTCCACTTTATTTGACTTTCACTCCTCATTATTTATTTTTCTACTTCTATGTTTATTTACATATTGCATTATTTGTAAAAGAGTTTAAAAGTGAAATAATGTTTCAAATATCTTTATTTTGTTACACACAGAGAATTATTATATATTATCCCTAATAATAGCAAAATTGGAAATGCTAGTTTCCATGCTTTTCACTTTTTCACTTCTTTGTTGTGTTTCTGGTATTCACAATTGTTTGTAATTCCAGTGTCACATAACAACATGCTTTGCTGGATTTCTTACCAGACATGCATTAAAATAACAATTAAGTGATTTGGGTATCAATTCTTCAGTTCTGTGCCCAGCTTTACTATTTATGCAATATTTTTATATTAATAAAGCCACTAAAACATTAGCCAGTAAAACTAGAAAAATTAATGATCCTATAAATAGCTGCATGTATATGTGATTGGGTTCTGTCATTTGGTGAAGTTCTAAAGCTCTTCATCTGTTTTGAGGTGTTTGAATATCTAAATCCATTAAAAGTTAAACAGGGAACTGATGGTAGATTCTAGGAGTGAGAATCAAGAAGTTTGAGTTAGCTCCCAAAATTGTCGGCAGACTTCCACCATATGTCTTTGTTATCTGCAGGAAAGAACTGCCATAATTTCTCTTAAATCTACTCAGCTAATAGGCCAGGCACGTGGCTCATGCCTGTAATCTCAGCACTTTTGGAGACCTCGGTGGGTGAATTACCTGAGGTTAGGAGTTCAAGACCAGCCTGGCCAACATGGTGAAACCCCATCTCTATTAAAAATACAAAAATTAGCCAGGTGTGGTGGCACATGCCTATAATCCCAGCTACTCAGGAGGATGAGGCAGGAGAATCACTTGAACCCAGAAGGTGGGAGGTTGCAGTGAGCCAAGATCACACCATTGCACTCCAGTCTGGGCAACAAAAACAAAACTCCATGTTAAAAAACAAACAAACAAACAAAAAACAACAACTACCCAGCTAACATATGTTCTCTATGCTTTCTCTACTTGATTCTTAGACATGTCCTTTTTATTCCAACTTGGCAAATAACTAATCAATAATTAATATATTGATAATTAAATTAAATAATCAATAAATAATGATCGATAATTAAAATATTAAATTTAGGAAGTTACCTAGTAGGCAAAAGTAAAACAAAAAACAAACATGGTGCTTGGTACTAAGTCCTCTTGAAGATTTGTGGTTTCGTACTTCAGGTATTATTTAGCTATTTTATACTCTCTGCCTGTATATTTACATTTTTAAAGCCCATTGTGTAATTTTTTTTATTTGTAAACTCTTGTTATTTAATTATGTTCCACTTTGTTTCACAAAACTTTTGAAAATGCCTTCTCTCGGTACTATTTCTTCCCAAATGAGAGCAGAAGTCAAATAATGATGTATTACTCTTTAATTCCATGAAAACATTCAGGGATATACTAAATTAATGTTTTAAATTCTCAATTGGAATGATATTTATATTATGCACAAAATTATTTACATTTTATGTTTAAGTTTAGATAACAAAAACTATATTTCTTTGAAAGAATATTTAATATTTTGGGCTCATCTGTTTCACACTTACCAAATTAGGAAGTGATCCTTGGGTTTTGTTATTTAATAAACATAGAGAACAACATTTTGTGATGGCTCCTGCAAAATACCACCATGTAGCCTATTGAAGTTAGAAAGGTTACAAGCTCTTATTGGCAAGATCAGCAGGCAGAGATACGCATAGGTAAGACAGACCTGTATCTTTAAGATCACTGAAACTGACTCATCTTGTGGATTGTCTTTAACTAGTTTAACTGTAAAACAATTACCTTCCCATGAGAGTTACATCACTTATAATTAAACAACCTAACAGAATTTTCATAAGCTAAAGATGCTATTTGCTAAATAAGCATTTTTTTTTTTTTTACTGTCTTCTTTCTACATTTAAGTCGTGGAGGTTTTGTCTCCTATATAGACTAAATCATAAAAGAATAGTAAAACAACATTAATCAACATCACTAATATTCTTACTTGACAGAAGCTCAGTTTCATCTAGATATCAATTTTTTTTCAAAAATTTTACACACCATTTCATACTAATTACCCTGCCTATTTTAGTTGAGTGAATGTAATCGCATATTATTTTAAGCCTCAAAGCCCAATCCAATAATCACAAATAGAATTAAAATTCACAACAAAATAAAGCAAAAAATCTAGTGAGTTGGAACAATTTCTATTTTAAGAGAAACTTTCTTCAATAATTTTCCTTCTTCAATAACTTTAGAAGTATACATGTTAAATTGTTATTCAATATATGGTTATGTCTTCAGAAAACTTACTGCTTAAAAGAAAATTCTACATATGTACTTTGTAAACTGTAAAGCAGAATAGTTTTGGTATTGTTATTATTGTGA